TGTCATGAGCACGTGCATACATCGCCCTGCTCTTCAACTGTTAAAATGAAGGCGCAAAATGGGTCGGGGTTTTGCCTTATTTTGGCATCTTTTAAAGACTGTGTGGAGGAGCCTTAAGCTGTGTAGGTGAGGATAATTAGGCAAATTTAGTTTCATGATCTACATGAGATTTCTGATATATGCACATACAAAATTTGACAGCAATCGGTCCAGTAGTTTAGGAGATTTTTTTGTTTAATAGAAATCGATATAGACGACAGACGGCAAGCAGACAGAGAGGCAGACCAAAACGGGAGATCAATTTTTTGATACTCTTGGGGTTATGAAACGTCAAGGATTACAATACTTCTTTGTGTTACACTAGAAAACTTAAAATTATAATAATCATTTGAAATGTGCATACACATTTTTTTCTAGAAACAAAGCAGTTTGGTTAAAGTCAGTCTTTAAAGACAAAAATCCAGTTTCTTTAAAAAATAATAAAATTTGTAGCGGAGCTTTCAAAGCGCTCCGCTAGTACCCTTTCGAGGGCGCTGTCCTCGGCAGCGCCGATATCAACCCCACCAAGCTCACCCCCACTGGAAAGCACCCCACCTGAAGTTACTTCATTGTGCAGGTACTCCCACGCATCTCAACCCTGCCTATAAAAGGGCAACTCGGACGCTTTCCAGGCAGATGGAACGCCACCATCTCCACCTTAAGGGCTGCACTGTCTCGGTCCCCTTCTGGTGAGCACCGTACAGATGGAACGCCACCATCTCCACCTTAAGGGCTGCACTGTCTCGGTCCCCTTCTGGTGAGCACCGCACAGATGGAACTCCACCATCTCCACCTTAAGGGTTGCACTGTCTCGGTCCCCTTCTGGTGATCACCAGGGCTGCACTGTGTTACGGTCCCCTGCGCTGCTTCGAGATCTTCACCAGGGCTGCACTGTTTTACGGTCCCCTGCGCCGCTTCGATATTATCACCAGGGCTGCACTGTGTTACGGTCCCCTGCGCCGCTTCGAGATCTTCACCAGGGCTGCACTGTTTTACGGTCCCCTGCGCCGCTTCGAGATCTTCACCAGGGCTGCACTGTTTTACGGTCCCCTGCGCCGCTTCGAGATCATCACCAGGGCTGCACTGTTTTACGGTCCCCCTGCGCCGCTCCGACGACGTCATCTCCAGGGTCGCACTCTCTAGGTCCCCTGTGCCGTATCGCCGACGTCGTCATCTCCAGGGTCGCACTCTCTAGGTCCCCTGTGCCGTATCGCCGACGTCGTCATCTCCAGGGTCGCACTCTCTAGGTCCCCTGTGCCGTATCGCCGACGTCGTCATCTCCAGGGTCGCATTCTCTAGGTCTCCTGTGCCGCATCGCCGACGTCGTCATCTCCAGGGTCGCACTGTCCAGGTGCCCTGTGCTACATACATCGCCGCCGTCATCCCCTACGACGCTCTGAGTCCCAGGAGCCGCCACCATCCCCGACGAGAATTGCCACCACTTCGATAACCCATACCCATATTTTGCTTTGTATTGTTTGCTTATTATCAATAAACCGCTGAGCTACCACAATCTGTCGCCCTAACGTGGGGCTTCGAACAAGGGAGGATACCACAAATTTGAATTTCCGGAATTTTATTTATTTTAAAATAACCACTATAGGTTAAAAAATATAGATAGTACCAGTCATAACATAAGAAAAAAAGTTTTCCACGGAGGAATCGAACTGAGTACCTTCCCTTTATTGTTTCGACGCTTCTCGAACTCAGTCAAGCCGGCAATTAAATTGCATCGCAGTAATATATACTGGTAGATAATACTATTGTGGAATTTGTTTTTTTTTTAATTGTGATACCCAGAATACAGAATAAAACGTCAAGGCGGATTCATAAACCAAAAGTACAGGAATATGTTATTTTATAAAATTATTATTATCCGTCTAATAAAAATCGATACGTACAACAGATAGACGACAGACGATAGAGAGACGGACAGACAGACGCATAGACAGACGACAGACAGACGGGCAGAGGGACCTATTTCGTCGTACTGTAGAGATTATGAAAGGTCGAGAAAACGTAAAAATAGAAAGTCGGTCGACGGACTCGATTACAATACTTCCTTCGCTTACGCTCGGGAAGTAAAAATTGATCTAAATATTTAAACAAAGCTTTCCTCTCTCGCCGAAGCACGGTAGAACAAATTCAGTTTTCAGTTTTAATTTTTTTATATGATGGTCCCTGTGAGTTTAAAAAATATAGACAATATTGGTCGCAATAATATAAGACCTATTTTTTCGTATTCTAGAAATCAGGAAAAGTCGAGAAAACATAAAAGTAAGTTATGCCCAGGAAGCAAAAGCAGTATTATCTTTTTCTCCATCGACTATTCGACCTTCTCTTTTTCCCAATTTCAGTGTAACAACATCCTTAACTGCACATTTTCAGTTATTGAAATCTCAAGGGTTATATCGAGTAAATAACATAAAATTGACTTATTATTTTGTTGAATTTTTTTTAGTTTTTTTTTATAAAAGTAATTTTTAAAACGCTTGACACCACCACGAAAACTAAGTATATGACAAACGAAACCACTGACATTTCAAATACATCGTATTTTATTAAACATTCGAATAATAATTATAATAACGAAACTTTGGGCTAATGACGATGAATTATTACAACGACTCCAAAGGTTTGAAGTTTACATTTCAAAACAGAAACTAGTCTTGTGTTTTCTACAGTTGTGGATATCCCAAATAGTTTTTTTTTTTCGTAAAAGAGCTAAATATGACATTAAAATCTTTAAAACTCAAACATTTAAAAATCGATCAGAAAGATTAAACAGGTGTTGAATTTTATACACGATATCATCAATTTTTGATAAGTTAACGTCCTGTATAGGCAATTAAACGTTACGTTGTATTAAAAACATTTCAACACTTTTCTCAAACGATGTTGTAATTTTTCTGCTGGGGATCAATATATGAATTTAATTTGCAATCCCTAATTCAGAGTCAAAATTATGAAGAAAAAGAAATCGATAAGACAGTACATCACGCTGAAAATCGTTACGAAAATTAATACAAATTTTGGATGACGTCATCAGTTTCTTGAAGGAATGCTAGTACAAATTATGGTTTGTGTGTTTATTATGGAGTACTTCATTACAAAAAAAAAATCAATTGACAATAAACTTTTTGAGAAATTGTTGACATTTTCTTTTACGAACTTTTCAACAAATTAGTAGTTTTATTCACTTCTATCATAATGTTTTGTAAAAATGCAACTATGATAAATTTGTTTTATTTTCAATGAGTAAACATTTTTTTTGGACCGATATTAAATAACAAACCTTATTTATATATATTTCTTTTAGATATCTGTAATTAAATTTTTTACGATTTTAACTAAATAATACAAAGCTATTACGAACTATCTTATCAAGTAAATACAGTGCAAAACTGCACACCTGTGTTATCACGATTGCTGCTAGGGAGCGAAACAAACGTTGGTGTTTACATTTATCAAAAAGTAAAATAAATTGATGATTAAATATCGCTTAGTAACATAAACGCAACATTACATTGCCGGTGATCCCCAGACGCATAAATCCTTCTTTATTGTTGCGATAATTTACTACAAATTGTTACAAAAAAAAATGAAATATCTTCCTGAAAAATGTGTATCATTTGGCTAACACGACACATTTTTTCTTTTTAAGTATAAGAGCCGAGAAATGTGCACCATATCTCTTAAAAATGAAAATTGCGAAATATAGGGTAAGGAAAACGTAGTCTTGTCATGAATACGAACTTTTCCTCATTTGTTAAAATCAATTTAAAAGCTGTCTTCTGCTTGCGATAGACACCCTATAACAAATTAGGTTCATTGCGCCCATTCTTTAATCTTGTTGATACAAATTCGGGAAAGGTAATCAAAACAAAGTGAAATCAGAATCACCAAGCTGAAAGATATTTTAATTTCCGGTATCACATACGTACTGAATTAAAATTTGTAAATATTTTAGCCAATAATATTTTAAACTTTTGGTAGAATTATCCGTGTTGTTTACAACAGAAACCACTATCTTCGATTGTCATCGCAGAAGATGAAAAATGTGATCTGTCAGTGGGGTTTAGTGGCACAATTCGATATTTAAACTAAGTCGACGAGAAATATTTTTTCGCAGAGTAATAAATTAGATTAAGTTTTCAACAAGAAGACGTTCTGTACTTTCGTAGTCATTAATCATTCTTATGAAAACACTTCTAAGTATTTCAGTTTCATGTTAGATAACAACTCACTTCATTGCTACTGCAGTATTGAGTGAGTAAGTACTCAATATTCTGAGTTTATTGTATGTTCGATAAGCATCAGTACGAGTAATGAGTACGCTGGTTGAATCATATACCGTTTTGTAACCATTCAATAAACAATGCACTTTCCAAAACAACAATTTTTTTGTATGTAAAATTATCTCGTTGTATCATCCGAAATGACGTATGTAGATTTTTTTGGTTTGTGCGTCCCACATTCCGCTTGAATATTTATAAGAATGAGAGTTTTTTAAAGCGTTTTAAATTCTGCATTTCACGTACGAGAGATTTAATTAAACCTTTATCGTCTAAATGTAGCAGAGACAAAAGCTTTCGTAACTCTAAATGAATGGCATCTACATAGTACACAAAAGTTTAGACTGGAACTCATTCGGTTTTTCACAAAAGGCGTCCTAACATAGTAATAACTTTGTATTGTGATAATTGATAGTGATCATCATAAAGCAAACAAAATATTTAAATGCAAAAGTTCTTCAGTGATTACGTTTTTTGACATTTGTCCAAATTCGACCTAAATATTCGTTTAGATGAATTATTTAACACTAGAACTTCAATTAACTAAAGGCATATTTTCACTAAGTAACATTTCGAATTCCTGGAAACTTGATTCAAGGAGACCATGCTATTGTACGCTGTATTAAGACTATAAAACGCACTCATTCGTAATAAATATTCTCGTACCTGTTCTACAATTGAGGCGAGCCGTCCCAAAGCTAATCCATGTTCATCTTCCCTAGTAATCACTGCACTTCCCAATTTCACTACCAACCTCCGGGCATATTTCAGCTGACTTCTGTCCGTGAACGTTGCCTGTTTCCTTTCTTGTAGAACCCGTTTTTCGTTGTTCGCCTACAAAATGAGCATTAATTACTAAATAGTGCTTAAATTATTTTTGCCAAAATAAGGGACACACATTTTTTGTATCATATTTTGTGTCAAAAATGGCAAATGTATTGAAATTTTGCTAGCAATGGATCAATTTTAGTTCAATGCAGACTTTTGCTGGTCAAATTCACCTAAAAATAATATTAATTTAGATTTTAATAACACAACCACGAGATGAAATAATAATAATAATAATAATAATTCGCACAATATTTGGAACAGTTGGCCAACGAGAAAAAAAAATTATTGTTACAATTTTTTGTGGATTTAACGTCCCGTCTTATTAATATTATTTTTTATTAACTTTATTATTTTAATAATACTACAAAGCAGCGAGAGATAATTGCCTGTGATTAAAAAAATATTTTGTTTTTTCGTTTTCTACAAGACTATATTAAATTTGCTCACTTTCGGGAACGCTAAGGATTTTCAGCTTGCACGTGCCTGTGAGATGCCATATACTGATTTTCGTTAAATAAATAAGCACGTTATTGTACCTTATTTTTATTTGAGATAGCAGTCGCGTGTTGACCTTCTTATCAGTTGAGACTAAAATCTACTTCCTTGACATTTATTTACTAGTAGAACCAATAGGTTTATTTGTGTACACAATGTGCACAGCAGCGATAAAACACCGCATAAAATCCATAAAAGGTTTGTGCATAAAGATAAAGAAAAAAGGTGAAATCAACCCCGTGTAATAAAGTAGACACTTCGTCGAGATTGCTTACATCTGTCACCGTGGTGGCTTATGACGTCACCAATTTTTAATGGAATTGCTGAAAGTCGATGCGATTTTTTTGTCAAGAATCGGCTGAAGTCGAATCAGGCAACTGTTTTTATGTAAAAATGGTGCATATTTTTATCATTTTTATCGATAATGAGTTTATCAGTTTGTTATCAATAACTAACAGAATGTAAGCGATTTGGTTTTTGGAGTGTTGCAGTTTCCAAAATAAAAAAATTCAAAACGTTTATTTTCAAAATAAAGTACCAAAGGGTCACAGTTGAGCAATGTTGTTAGAAAAATACGTTTCTGTTGTAAACTTGAAGCACAAAATTTACTAAAAATCCAAACTAATCAATCGACCTTCTAAATTAGTTTACATTGAATTACGACGATAAGATACTGAACTTTGTATTACAAGTGTCAAAGTGTGACGTCATCACGATATAGTTAAACGTATTCGTGAACTTTATGATTACTTTATAAACTATTTTATGTCAGATATCAGCAAGGCCTAGTTGTCACTTTATTTTCTATGATAGGGTTTTCGACAAACGGCATTCAGGCAAGACTTCTATCATTACGTCGACAAAAATCGTTTCATATATTTGGACCTTTGATTACATATTTTCTGTAACTTTTGGTATTAATTACTTGATTTTGAATAGCAAACAAGAGCCCTGCTGTTTCCACATCAAACTTGATTTTTTGGAATATTTGAGAAAAACACTGTGGCGGCACAATAACACGTTGGTAAACGGAGAAAAATAAGCAGCCTCGTGGTCTAGTGGTAAGGGCACCTGCCCGGCAAGCGGGTGACGTGTGGTTCTATTCCCACCGAGGTAGCAACATTTTTGTTCGCTTACCTGCAACACGTATTTTAAGATCAAATTTATATAATTTTACAATTATGCAAACCCAAGAATGCGGAACTGAATTATAGGCTTTCTTATAATCATTAAAAGCAGTAAATATGTTTCTGTTTTGTTTCCTAGCTTGTTCACAGGTGATGGAATCTATGATTAATTGCTCTTTGCAACCAAATAATCTCCCGTTTCCGTCTGTCTGTCTGTCCGTCTGTCTGTCTGTCCGTCTGTCTGTCCGTCTGCCTGTCTGCCTTCACGGATTTTTTGTGTAATGCATGAGGTTAGTGTTTTGTAAATTGTAGGTAAACACGTCATAGGTCTCTATTTTAATGGTTTTGTTGTATTATCATCTTTAGATTTTAAATATCTTACATCATGACATAAAAATGTTAGATATGTAGATGGGTTAAGAAGCAACTGGTTTTGTTTTAGTAAATGACTGTGTGTAGAATTGAATTTTTTGACTCAAAAATTATATATTTTGTCTAGGTTGGTGAGATCAAGTTTGGTATTCATTGATAACATTTATCAATTCGTCAAGTGTTGTTTGATTTATTGTTGATGTTATTAATGTTGTTATTATTATTCTTTATACATGTATGTATATGACTCATTCTTTTGTAATAGCATAATAGGTTACCTCTGCTCGGTAAAGATAATAATAATAATAATAATAATAATAATAATTTCTTCTGGAGAAAATTTTATGTTTAGTTTATCATGGGTTTCTTTGTTGACCTAAAAAATATGCCTAGGTAAAATTCCATTTATTCTACCTGCAAGGTCCACTATAGGTCTATCCTTCACTGCATCGCTGGATGACTGACGTTGCTATTGCCCTACTGAAAATCCACGTTACAAAAACGGGCTTTAACGTTGAAGACATGTTTTATTGTTCACGTGTTCCTTTAGACATTTTATTCATCTTAGTCTAATGTCTGTCTGCTCCATCAAGCATTCTTTCCTGTCTCGATTATTTCCATTAGGAATCAATAAGGGCACCATTTATGCACCGACGGATGTGAACAGGGAAAATCCTCTTTATATTTTTCCAGCAGACGCATATGTAATGTTTGTACTGTAACATGCTTTAAATATATGCATTACTACTCCTAGTCTAGCTTTAAACATACTCTCGGCTCATTTTCTTTTTCTAAATTCTTGTTCTTTTTAAATGTACTCTTTCTTGAGTTTTAGGAGCGTAGTTACAGATGTGTTAAATCGTGGCGATGCACGAAATGCTGCATTATTTGGAGAAGTAATATTATTCTTGTTGCAGCGGGAGTGTTCAGTCTCAAACATGAAGAACAATATTTAGCAGTAACTTTTGTTCTTGTTTTCTTGGTGTCGTAACGCTGTCTAAAATTATATGGACCCCGGGAAAATGCTTTTATAATTCCACTCGAATCAAAATCAACTGTGACAAGATGACAAAACCTAATTTCATTATTAATTCTTTTTTTATTTATGATTTCTGTTGTTTGACTAAATACAAAACGAGATAATATTTTGCTATAAACAAACTGTTGCCTGAAATGTGGAGGCAATTAGAATTTTAGGGGGGAAGAACAACACTTTTCAAACATATAATCTTCTGTTAACAAAAACAAGTTGCAGCTAAAATTACTTTTTTAACAAAATTTCTTCAAATTCTAGTGAAGATATAACATTTGTGGAGAACGACTGGAAACTTCTTATTATCTTATATCAGCTTATTCCTGTTTTGAATAAGTTGCAACGAAAATGTGTGGTGGTTAATGGACAATGCACCATACCCTTCAGTGCAGTTGGACAAACCCTGCTTGGGTAATCACAGCATTGGATTTGTCAAAAAAATTCGAAAAAACTGTGGGATTTAATTCAACCTTTTCACTTAAAAAATAATTACCAAGGAAAAATTATTGTTTATATGTACCCAGATAGGAAGATCTGATTAACAAAACTCTAAAGTTTTTTGAAGAAATCTTCACACGCAGTCAAAGTATATCAGAACAGACAGAAATTGATTTTCTACTGCTGATAAGAACTAAAATGAATGATGGCGTAATTGGGATGGTTTCCAAAGATCGTGATAGAACTGGTGGGATCAGATGATCTATCAGCATTAATTGCACTGATTGTGAATATAGTTCCACTCACGGAAAATACTGGTATTAAATAGTGATTGCAGATTATCCAAAAAGTGAGCGACGTTGATCCAGATAAGGCGATTGCCGATTCAGGGAACGCGATAAATTTGAAATATCATTTTTCAACCGAAAAGTTGCTATTTCTATTATTTCTGCATTGGTTGGGTCAGAAAGAGCATTTTTTTTGCAAATATGTAGGTAAAAAAATAAACTAAATTTGTTCTGTCCGTATACTTGTGACAGCAGGTTTCTAAGAAACTTTTTGTACTCTCGGGGTCCCAAAAAAACTTAAAAATGTATATAGGTCAAGAAAAAATATTTCAGTACAAGACCAAATTTGAATTGTGACCTTAAAATAAAGTCCTCGTCCTACTGAACCACAGCTTTGACGATATTGTATTAAAAGTGAGTTTACAAATAAAATATGTACCGATATTTTTATCCATGTATTTCAAAAACTAAACTGTAGTTATATTACTTTAAGGTAAATTACATACCAAATGAAACAGTTGTACCTGATATGTGATTAATTACCTTGTAGATAACAATAAATCATAAATCAATACCGTTTTAATTTAGGTCACTTGCCCTTCAGCCCTTGACGCAGAGAGTCATTCCCTTCACGACTATAAATGATTACAGAGAATCTACATTTGACATTTATTCTTTATCGTAATAATAATAAAGTTTCCTTCATTCACATCATTGATGTAATATAACCTGTCATAACCAGATAAACCTTCGTATCAAAGAGCAATCCTCCTATTGATGCAATAAATCGCTCAAAATATTTACAACATAAGTGACTCTATTTTTGTAGGAGAGGAAAAATGTGTCTGCCAAAGTACAAGCGTCGTATCAATTGACGTGATTTCAAGAAAGCCCCGCAACAGACTTTACACTAACCTTTTTAAATTAGCGTTGGCCTCGGTGAGATAAGCATTTTTCATTGAATAATACATAAACAATAAACAGAACAGAATTTTAAAACAAAATATCAAAAAGTTGAGGGTCAAAATCGAATTTTTGGGCACATAATTACTAACGGTAACGGATTGCTAGAGGTTAAATCTTGCCAAGACTAATGCTTTATTTATGACCAGTGTTAATACCTGAGTGAGTTTGGGCGACCAAAGTCCAGGTGTTGTGGCGGCGGTTCTGACCAGGGCATCAGGCCGCATCGCCGCCACCTGTCCGGGCACTCTGAAGAAGCCCGTGCCGTTGAAGGCAAAAAGGCGTGCATTTTTAACCAGTGTTGCACTGAACATTTTTCTACGATCAATGCGTTTGTTTTGCGCGAATTGTGCCCGACAACTGATTTAACTCTTCTTGCTTTGTCAAGTCGAAGGGAATCCGCTGATTAGGATAACCCTGATGATTGGAGATACATTTCGGACTATGCTCGATAATAATGATACACGTGACGAGGGCTTGAATGTTTTGTGTACACAAATAAGTTTATCGGGGTTTATAGATATAGACTGTTTAACTATATAAAGTGCCTCGTTTTGTATTAATAATAGATTAAGTGATTTCATGGTGAGAGTGTAAACCTCCTCCACCTGGATGATTAAACGCAACCCCAACGCGAGACAACATCATATCGGAATTTAACACAAGGATTTGGATGCTAAATCGTTAGATTTAGCGCGGTTAAAAGCGGTTCGGCTATGACGTTTTGCACGGAAAGACTGGCTGAAATCTGTAGTGGTAGATACGTCGTCAGCGAAATTACTTTGCACATTTAAAAGCCGATTTGTCGCATTTACTTTAGCAATTTGCTTCGGTTTAACGTCTTAAATTGCTTGCGGACTTCAGAAAAGGGTGTACGATGGAGATGAGGGTGAAGGTTTAGTAGAACTATATTTTGTACTCTGTTCTAATTCGTTCAAACACTTAGTTTACCCGTTTATTACTTCCTGAACGTAAGCTAAGGAAGTATTGTAATCGAGTCCATCAAACGACTGGTTACTTGCATATTTTAATAAATCTCCGAAACTACCGGACCGATTGTTATCACATTTTATCTAGGTATTATGATTTATCATATTGACTTGCTTAAGTGTAACAGCTAACGAAGAACACTTTATGTTTCAAAAAAATTAATAGAATTAAAAAATTTCATAAATGCATTGGAAGTGTTGTATGACCGCTTTGACCTACCTTCCTCTAGCCCCAATGTAGTTTATGTCCTGTGCCGTATTTGTTGTTGGACGCATGTTAGAAGCGATAATTCTACTTCCAACGGTTAATGAAAGAAGATTTCTAATCAAGTCTCCTTCCACTAAGAGTTGAGTTAATTTTCGTTGCCTCTATTTACGCACTAAATCACGGGAGAGTGACAGTAGTAGTCGTTAATCGCTTGAACTACGATTCGATTTATCTCTAGGTTTTAGTCGGTGCTTTAATTTTGCGCTCTGTTGTAGTGTAGTCTAAAGCAAACCCTCAAATTTAATTTTACCGCTTGTACAAACAACCCACTCACTTGAAATTCTGGCGCATAAAACCGCTGCAAGAGTTCCCTGTGATTTATTCCTTGCAGAATGATTATATCCTGTTGAAACAGTAATGAGATTCAATCATAGTTCCAATAGCGTAGAACAGCTAATTATCGTCGCCATCGATTTTGACGGTCCTAATTAGTGATTATGTAAATCTCACTAATTGGTGTCACTTATTGACATTAGCTGAATCAAAGAAATACAGACATGAATCTAATTACAGTTGCGACGATTGGAGATGAGATCAAATAGAGAATAAAGGAGATGCATCGATTTGGGCGGGCGGCGAGTTTGTGGAGAGATTCTCGGAAAGCTCTGAAAGCCCGGATTCATCAATATGATACTTCTTGTTTAGTTCTTCCCAGAGTATATTAAAATAAGTGAGCGGATTATCAGATATAAGTACACATCGGAGACTCGTAATAATCCTTTACTAACGCTCGAACTTTTTCCCATTCCGAGTTTACTCCGCGCGAACTCATCTCAATGGTCAATAATGATGTATTGTGGGGCATGGTAATAGATTCTCGAGCCCAAACTTCAAGTACGATTTAACACTCTATTAAATTTACTCGTATAAAGTTTGTCGTTGTTTACTTTGAGGACCTGTTCAGTATTGCTAATTCGCTTAGGCCTGCTCCTTATTCTTCTTGATTGATTGATGAGTCCATTCCGTCTTTTTCTGATTGTTTTTCTGTGGGCTTTTTTCTTTCAGTTTATCTTCTTAAACCGGGGAAGTTTCGCAGAGAATTATTATAGGCCTTAATTGGAAAATTGAATTTATACCGCAGTTTGCCTTAGGCTGGGATTGTCAGTTTAAAAACTTCAACTCAACTCCTCTGCTAGTCTACAAAACTTGACAGACGGCGATGATGCTGATTGTGGATGTCCTGAAAACCACGCTGGGTGTAGAACTTTCTCCTATCAGCAAGTTTTATCGCTTGAACATAACAACGATCCTGACAAAATGGGTCAAAATATTTATACTGGACTTCCCTATTCGCTGAAGCAACCGTCATCACACTCGTTGGACCTCATAAGGAAGGACTTCGGTGTCCAAAATGTTATACGTGGAATACAGAGCTTTTAAAAATGATTCTAAGGGCGTAGTTAGCCATAGATTTCAAAAATCATTATGTCAGTTCTCACTTGTCATTAATGTCATTCGTAATCTGTCATTTAACGTCGTCGTTTTTATTGTTTTAACGGTTTTCAAGTGTGAATTACAGTAATTCTCTTGTATTCTGTAACCGCTTGTAAGCAGAATATCTGGCCAAATATCATGATTTAATAATTTAAGAACCATCGTTGGAGGCTCACATTAGAGATATAATCAACAGATTTGTTCGAACTGCCAGTGTCAACAACGAGAAATCTCGTGGAAGACCTTCAGTATCTAAGGAAGTTGTTGATGATTTGAGATGACTTGAGCAGAGCGCGCTAACATCTTTGATATAATTTCCTCAGTAGTCAGGAGTTCCTGTTGCAACATGAAATCGAACAACGGGCATTGACGAAAGGAATCCAGAACATTTTTGAAGTCAAAAAGAGAGTAAACATGTGCTTTCAACAAAAGGGTGAATATTTTCAACATTTTTCTTTTTACTGTAATGAATTAGTTTTATTTTTTAAAAACATATAAAGCATTTAGGCAACCAGTTATACAGATGTGTGGGATCTTTGTCATGCGTCCTTGGGCATTTAGTATAGTTCAAAGCTGACAGGCGGCACGTTTACATGACCTACAGCGACCCTATAATCCTTTATAGAAACCCTGGATTTACACAAACTGTAGACAGTGTAATACGAAATTTAACTTCGTCGTTCTTTCAGAATTAAAAAAAAAGATGATCTCTCTGTGACGTAATTTATAATATAGTTGAAAAAGTCATCAAGCTGGATTCCATTTTTTGTTATTGTGAAGTATGTTATATAACGGAGGAAATTACTGAAATAACAAGAATAGGAGATTAGAGTAGAATTAAAAAGCTGGAACAAAAGAATGGAATACTTTCAAACGCCAAAAAAGCCGAAAAAAACGAAAATATAGATGAATGAAGAAGACTATATAAAGATATACAGGAGAAGCTAAGGAATTGGTGAAGAAGCGAGACAAAAAGGAGATGATGCAAAGATGATGTACAATAAGCTGCATATAAATGAGGAAGAATATAGCTTGAAGCAAATGAAGGAAATTGAGATCATTGACAAAGATAAAATATATGACTATAAGGAAAAAAAAAGACCAAAGAAAGAAAACATAGTGAAAGATCATGGGACATATGCAAGAAGGAAAATAAAAGCGAAAGATAGGCAGAAACACATCCTGGTAATATATAGTAAAAAAATTAAGAGAGGACGGAAAAAATGAAACGGAAAATTTCAAAACGACCTTAACTATGGATATAGTAAAATATTTAAAAAGATGGACAGGCAAAGTAAGAAAAATAAGTACAAAAAAAGAAGAGACATTACAATAATTTCAAATAAAAAAAAAGAGTGGAAACGGATGATGAAAGAGCGTAGAAAGAGAAAAGAAGAAGGGAAGAGCTAAAGGGGGAATAATAATAGGGGTAAAACAAGAAAGGCAAGAATTAAAAATGAACTGCAGTAAAGAAGAAGGATTAATGATCTGGACCATCATAATATAATGAAACAAATGGCACATTAGGACAGTAAACAGTAAGAACATAATAAAATAGAAATAAGTGGTGACGACTATGTAATTCTAGGCGAAGATTTTAATGCAAGAGTAGGAAAAAAAGAGGAAGAATAGGCAATACAGATGATGGAAACCAAAAGTAAAAGTGAAAATAGGGAAGGAAAGCAAATGTTGTAAATAGTTGAAGAGAGAGGATATGACAGATAACGAGAAAAAAGGAGGAGAAAGTAAAGAAAAGTATGTGAACAAAATTTGAGATGAAAGGGCTAGTGGGGTATATTAAGAGAGGTTAAGAACATACATTTTCCTTGAAGTTGATAGGCACGCAAAATAGAATGAATTGGAATAACTAACAAAAGATGCAGTAGAGGGAGAAAACATGACTGGTTTAATGAGGAATGCTACGTCTTAAAAAGAGACACAAGGAAAACATTAAGAAGACAAAAAATCCAAAAGAGAACATAAGAAGAGTTCCTCAAACAGGCACGTAACCAAGGGGGGGGCTGGGGGGGCACAGGCCACCCCAGCAAAACCCCGTGCCACCCTTGGTGCCCCCTTAAATTAATTTTGAATTTTAAAACTAAAGTAAATTCAAAATTTCAGATCAACGGTAAATTTTAGCTATGAGTAATCTTATGTTCTTATCTTGTAATATAACTCTATGAGTAAAGCGATACTGCTGTGAACAGTTTTGTCGATAACTTTTTTAAGCAATTAGCCGATACAACTGATATGACTTTTTTTAAAGGCCCCCTTATTTAAAATGAGTGCCCAGGCTGGGCCCCTCCAAAATAAAAGGCTGGTTACCTGCCTGTCCTCAAAGTCAGGAAAACATATTGTTACGTTGTACGGGTGTTTAAAATGGACGTGGGTAAAACTCAACAATTTCTTTCTTAATAACTCGAATTTACACGACTGGGTAGACAGCGATTTTGTACAAAATAATTTGACTGAACTCGACTCGTTAACTGAATAATAATCGTTTCCGAAGGTGCCCTCTATTTAAACCCATACTTCCTTCTGGATGTTGGGTTTTCGGGGTCTTTCTGGATTACCCATCGGGAGTTCCGATTCCAGGCTTTTCTTTAGCAAACACCGCCCGGTCACCATCGCCGACGATGAGTCACCATCGTCGTATATACTAGAACCCATAGGTGTCGTACCC